ATCCTAGCTACTCACAAGGCTGAGATCTCAGAATCACAGTTTGAAGCCAGCTGGGACAGGAAAGTCTGTGAAACTCTAATCAGCAAACTGCTGGAATGGACATGGCTCAAGTGGTAGAGAAAAAAAAAACAAAAAAAAAGAAGACTTCAAGACCTGTAGTTCAAACCCCAGTACTGGAAAGGAAACAAAAAAAGAGAGAGAAAAAGAGCCAGGTGCCAGTGTAACCCTAGCTACTCAGGAGACTGAGATTTAAGAATCATGGTTCAAAGCTAGTCTAGGCAGAAAAAATCCATTGATAAAAGTAAAACGCTTATTTCCAATTAACCACTCAAAATCAGAAATGGAGTTGTGGTAGCTTTGAGCAAAAGAGCTCAGGCCCTGAGTTCAAGCCCTACAACTGACCCTGCCCCTGCCCATCTCCCCCCCAAAATGGAGTCTAATATTCCAAGAATATTATGATGGTCATTATATTTTAAATTTTCACCATTTAAAAGACTTCTTGTTTTTTTTGGGTCTGGTCATGGGGCCTGAACTCTGGGCCTGGGCACTGTCCTCAGCTCTTTAGCTCAAGGCTTGTGCTCTTTGAGTTGCGGCGCCGCTTCCGTTTTTTTTTTTTTTGCTTATGTGGTGCTGAGGAGTCGAACCCAGGGCCTCATGTATGCAAGGCAAGCGCTCTACCACTGAGCCACCTTCCCAGCCCATAGAGTGCTTGCTTAACATGTGTAAAGTCCTTCAATTCCTCAATACCACATAAACCGAAAAAGTTGGAAGTGGCGCTGTGACCCAAGTGCACTAACCTTGAGCACAAGGAGCTCAGGGACAGTGCCCAGGCCCTAAATTCAAACCCAGGACTGGCAAAAATTAAAAGAAAAAGAAAGACATTTTAACAATTACTTTTTCTATTGCTATTTAAGTACCTCTTTGTTGAGCAAAGCCTAAAATATTTATCTTTCTAAGATGACCCCGAATTAGACTCATATCTCCACTCAGGATTAGGAACTGGCACAGAGAGGTTAAAAGCTATGTGCCCACACTTATATGATTGGTAAGTGGTAACCCAGAACCTATGCCCAGCAGCCAAAGTGAAGTCCATGACCCAAATTCCTCATCTTCAAACAAGTGACTTACGTGCCTGTAGAATCTACTGCCACAGCCCGGACTGCACCACGGTGACAAAGAATCTTTGCCAGTGGCTCCTTCACAGCTGGACTCCATAAAGACACAGTACCTGGAAAAAAAAAGAATTAGAATTATCAACACAACACCTTTGACTATTAAACAGGTAAAGGACCAGGGGTTGGTGGATCACACTTGTAAATCCTAGCTACTCAGGAGACTGAGAGCTGATGATCAAAGTTCAAAGGGAGCCTGGGAAGACAAATCGGAGACTTACCTCCAGCTAGCCAACAAAAAGCTGGAAATGGGGCTTAGTGATAGAGTGCTTGTGTAGCATGCATGAAGCCCTGGGTTCAATTCCTCAGTACTATAAACAGAAAAGGCTGGAAGTGGCACTGTGGTTCAAGTGGTAGAATGCTAGCCTTGAGCAAAAGGAGCCGAGGGACAGTGACCAGGCCCAGAGTTCAAGCCCCAGTACTGGCAAAAACAAAAGTTGACAAGACTCCATCTCAATCTGTGGCTGGGCACATCTGTCATCTCTAGTGACATGGAAAAGCACAAACTGGGGAATTGTAGCCCAGGCTTGGTAGGCCCAAAATAACCAAGGCATAAAAGGAGCTGGAGATGTGGCTTATATGACAAGATGCTTAATCTCAAGGACTGTCCCCCCAAAAAGCAAGCCTCAGGACTCACCATTACTGTGTCCAAGGTGGATGACAGCATTGTAAGGGTTCTGAGCCATGACACTCAGCCGTCCAGCCCGAGCATTCAGAGCTGCCACAATCTTCCCCACTGACACATCCAAGTAGGTCAGAAATCCTGTCTCTGACTGAGAACGAGAGAATAACTGAGTTTGGGGGGGCTGTATTGTCTTCCCTCTACTGAAGCCCTAGAGGAAAAAGATTCCCAAGGAGTGCCATCAGCCCCTATATTCCATAGCCACTCACAGCTGTGGCCAGGAGGAAGTGGAAGGGCAGGAATTCAAGCCGTGTAACTCGGTCACAGCGGCGGATGCAATGGAGCTCGATGCCCTGGTTGTCATAGATGTAAAGCCAGCGGTTCTGAGCAACAGCAAAGAGTGTCTCAGAATGGAGAAACCTGGGGGGAAAAGAAGAGTGGTTCAATGGGAAATGGGATCCCAGGTTGTCACTCAATGGAATGGCTGTTCTCACCCCCCACTGACCAACAACAGAGAAGACACTGACTGGATGTCCCGCACTGCCTCCATGACGTTGATTTCACATGTGAGCTTCTTTGTCACCCAATCGAGGGCAGCCACATGACCCCGACGCCCTCCAAAAGCCAGGTGTCTGTTGGAGATGAAGGAAAGGCATGGTATGAATGCAAGGCAGCACTGTGACTCAAATATTTTGAGGTCTTTCTCATACTAGCTTCTCTCCAGGGAAGAGATGTGTTCCTGTAGATGTTCAATCTCCTCATCAACAATCGAAACACATATGGCACAGCCAGTGAGGTTAAGGAAACATGACAAGTTCAAGAGTCACTGAAGGCTAGGAAAGTAGCTCAGTGGCCCAGCATCTTTATTATGAACAAGACCCTTGGCTCAAGTCCCATCACCACTACCAAAGAAAGAAAGAGAGAAAGAAAGGGGGGGAGAGGGAAGGGGGAGAAGGAGGGGTGCTGGTGGTTCATGCCTGAGATCTGAGGATTGTGGTTTGAAGCCAGCCCAGGAAGAGCTGTTGCTCAAATGAAAAAGCTAAGGGTAAGTACCCAAGTTCCTGAGTTCAAGCTCCAGCACTGACACAAAAAAGGAAAAAGAAAAAAGCCAGAATTCAACTTTACCTCCCAGTCTGAGAATAGTTCAGTCTGTAAGGTCCAAACTGTCGAAGATTCAAACTAAAGTGCTAAGAAAAGGAAGAGTAGGAAAAAAAAAATCAAGAAAAGAATGGCTTCCCCTCAGTAAACCACCATGCTATTCTTTTTGGTGCTGCGCTCCTCAGACCCACCTTGGCAGCACTTGCAATGTCCACAGCCTCCACAATGTCAGTCTGAAGTATCTTCGCTGTGTCTTCCCCATCCTCCCCTTCTAGAAACCTGAAAGCCAACATGGAAGGCAGTAAAGCTTCTCAATATGAAATCTGCAAACCAATATATAAATGAGAAGTCACGTAAACTGGGGTGAGCAAGGCCCAGATTAGGGTGGACTCACCCAGGTTCCTCAACAAGCAGCAGTTCAGAACGAGCAGCTCTGACACTTGCCTCTTCTTCCTCAGCTTCAGCCACCTCAAGTTTGCTTCGGGTTTTGGTCTTAGAATGTGGGATCTATAACATTGTTGATGGGAGATAAGTAGAAGTACCTGAGGACAGGCAGAGTCACAGGAGAGCCTCCTGGCCCAGTCTCCAAAGACACTCATCCAAAGACACTCCTCCTTCAACCCATTCCCACACTATAACTGGTCCTCACCTTTTTTGATTTGTCAATACGACGGAACTTCTGGGCCTCCTCCACAGGGGCGGGGGCGGGGCCTGGAAATGGGTCCTGGGCCTGGTGAAGGAAAGTGACAATTAACTGGCAAGTTCTGGGTGTCCCCAGAACTCTCACTGTCAAAGCACAAGGCGTCTTGCTTCACAATCTCATCAGGTCCCAGGCTCACCCCCGACAGACTGCGCTGTGGCTTCTTCTGATCACGGGCCTTCCTGGGGACCTGGGGCGTCCTGGAGATCCGAGACTTCTTTGAGACACCACTATTCTTTGGCCTCTGGGGACGGAACTCCTGATTCCTCTTCTTAGCCGGAGGCCCTGGAGAAGCCCCGGTAGCGGTCGGAGTGCTCTCTTCCTCCCAATATCGCCGCGGTTTCTAAGAGCAGATCAGACGCTCTCGTACTCTGTAGCCCACGTCCCGAACCTCAAACCCCGCAACTAAAAAAAAAAACCATCTAGGGCCTCTACCTTTCTCTTGGCCTGAAGTTTGTCTTTCTTGGGTGGAACATCCTTGCCGGGCGTGGGGGCTGTCTCCATCTCGCCCACCCGAACAACGATCCACGTGCAAAAACTCCCCAGAGCAGTAACACCGTCCGCTTTTGCAAACTTCCGGAAGTCCTCTGGCCTTCACCCAATCAGCGCCTTGCCAGGACTGAAGGCATGCAGCCGCCATCCTGAGTGAGGGCATGCCTTTGACAGGCGGGGCCTGCTCTCCCGAGCTACAATTTACGACTGAATGGATAAAAGGCCAGTCGGTTGCCAGGAACAGGACACAAGGCAGTCTCTTCTTTCAGATTAACTTCATTACCTCACCTAAAGCAGCTCGAGTCCCCTCTCTTTGGTAGAATGACACTCGTTGAACATGTTAGAACTACATTTCCCAGCATCGGTTCCTAAAGCAGCTTCAGGCGTGGTCTTTTCCCAGCATTCCCTGTTTACTTCCGGGTTCTAATACAGACGGGAGAACGTGAGTGGGATAGGGTTTGGGTCGGAGGGTTTGGGGAGGTCTGGCTTCGCTCCTGCTGTCCCGAAGCTGGGATAGTGTCGAGATCCAGGGCGAGGAGAGCCCTCGGTGTTTCCAAGGGTCTGTTCCTCACAAGAGCTGTCATTTCTGCAGGCCAGTCCAGAAAAGGGACCTCGGGTACCTTCCTGATCTTCAGACCCAGCGCTCCCCTCCCACTCCCCGCAGACTTTCATCCTCGCCATGGCTGAGCTGATCCAAAAGAAGCTGCAGGGAGAAGTGGAGAAATACCAACAGCTACAGAAAGGTAAGGGGCGTGGCCCCATCCCAATCCACTCAGACCCCAGAGCCATGTCAAGATAAAGGTTCCTGTCCCGTCCGGGTCCCCGCCTGCGCTTGCTTCTCGCCTCAGTGTTGATCCACTGCTGACTTCGTCTATCTCTACTCCCTCACGTCCATTTTCTTGGGGATGGGATTGTGGGGGTCTCTGACACATTTCATGTTCCTAATCACTTTTCTCCCCCAATACCTCAGACTTGAGTAAATCCATGTCAGGAAGGCAGAAGCTTGAGGCACAACTAACAGAAAATAACATCGTGAAGGAGGTGAGAAACTGGGATTCCGGGGGGTGGGGTGGCGAGAAGGGACTTACCTGTGCTGGCTATGCTTCAATCGGCCGTGTTCTCTCCCTCCATCAGGAGCTGGCTCTGCTGGATGGGTCCAATGTAGTGTTCAAACTTCTGGGTCCAGTGCTGGTCAAACAAGAGCTGGGAGAGGCTCGGGCCACAGTGGGAAAGAGGCTGGACTATATCACAGCTGAAATGTAAGTCTGTCCCACCAACCTGTGTTCACCTCACCTATATATTGTAGTTCTCCATCTGTCCCCAGCAGTCGTTTCCCCTCCCCTTCCCTTAGACCTCCAGTTTTCCACCAATGACTTTCTTGCCTTTAGCTCTCTCAATGAGCCCCACTAATTTCAATTTTTCTGCTTGTCTTCCTTTCTTCTCCTCAGTAAGCGATATGAATCCCAGCTTCGAGACCTTGAGCGGCAGTCAGAGCAACAGAGGGAGACCCTAGCCCAGCTGCAGCAGGAGTTCCAGCGAGCCCAGGCAGCAAAGGCAGGAGCTCCTGGGAAGGCCTGACCCCCATAGTGGGGGGAGGGGAAGGGAGGGGTGGGAATGAGGCAGCTTTAGGGACTATATTATAGTAGCTAATAAAATTTTTAAACACCTGGCTTTGTTTTCTGTCTGGCCTCTTCAGTCATATTTCCATTCATTCCTCTAGCCCCTTCCACCATAGACATAATACACCACTTACATTCCTCCCTGGGTGCCTTTTTTTTTTTGCTGGTCCTGGGGCTTGAACTCAAGGCCTGGGTGCTGTCCCTGATCCTCTTTGTGCTCAAGGCTAGCACTCTGCTACTTGAGCCACAGCACACTTCTGGCTTTTTCTGATATTTATTGAAGACAAGAGTCTCACTGACTTTCCTGCCCAGGCTGGTTTTGAACCTTGATCCTGAGATCTCAACCTCCTGAGTAGCTAGGATTACACCAGGGCCCAGCTATCTTTCTTGAATCTAATTTGAATGTTTTAAACCTGCTTTTTCCATATATGACATATATTACCTTTTTTTTGGCCATATTAGGGAACTTAGGGTCTCCTGCTTGCTAGACAGATGCTCTATCACTTGAGCCAAACCTCCATCCCTTGTTTTTGTTAGTTGTGGGGCTTGAACTCAGGGCCTGGATGCTGTCCCTCAGTTCTTCTGCTCAAGGCTAGCACTCTACCACTTTGAGCTACAGCACCATTTCTGGTTTTCTAGTGGCTAATTGGAGATAACAGTCTTATGCACTTTCCTGCCCAGGCTGGCTTTGAACCTCAATCCTCAGATCTCAGCCTCCTGAATGGCTAGGATTAGAGACATGAGCACCAGCACCCAGCCAACCCTGACATCTTTTCTTTTCAGCCTCTCTTCCTAGAATATTTTGAATGTGACTTAAAATCCCTTCTAAATATGTGTTGTCCACAAAGTTGCTCTTTATCTTGGTGCTAGAATTGTGTCTTACAAAGGTGACTCCAAGGAAGTTCTTCATAGCCATCATTTTCATCTGGTGGCTTCTGCTTCACATGGGTCTATGAAAGGTGAGAGGTAGTAAGCAACCGAGAACGAAGAGGCCACGAGAGGAATAAACTGTTCTGAGGAAACTATTTTTCATACATTGCTTTGAGCTCCTCATGGGAGTAGAAGACATTGTATCCGTTCATGTTCCCTGGCTTCTACCCTCAGCCAACTCTCCACCCCCATTCCCACGCCCAGCAACCCGTTCAAGGATGTGTTGCGAGGATAGAGATAAAGTCAGGTAGTGTTTTGGTTTATTATCTTAGTGTCACAGTGACAGTAATCCCCAGAATGGGGAAAGGGAAGTATTAGAACCTACTGGCCATTCCTCTCTGCCCTGGGGCTCAGAGCCTCTAGGCCTTTCCTTCCCCTGCCCTACTCTAGGCCTTTCCTTGGCCCTTCACATGCTAGAATGTGGCAGGAATCAGAAACCAGTGCATTTTCCCATATTATCTGTGTGCCACATTCATCAGAGGTGAGGAGCTGCCAAAGGTATCCATCTTGTGTACAAGATTACCCGCTCCCACATGGGTTTATTCTTAGCAGTTCGGTAAACAAGTGGCACTTCACTGCCCCAGGGTAGCTGGCCACCTCTCAGAATTTCTGTCTCATGAGTTACAACTGCCACCTTTCAAGATGGCTCCCCACATCTGGTATGAACACCATCCATGACTTCTGTTAAGTCAACAGGGTTTCCTCATCAGAATAGCGCGCGTGCAATCTTCCTCCCTGTAGCCTTGATCCGGGGAAAGGAGCCTCCTCCTCCCTCACTTGGGGGAGTTCCTGAGGCAGAGGGGCCGCTGGCAGAGCCCGGAGTGACAGTAGAGGGCCTTCGCCGCCGTAGGAGGAAATCATGGGATGCTCCATCCATGGCATAGAAGACGTTAGCTGAGGGCGGAATGGTCAGCTCTGCAGGTTCAGAGGAGAGTGTCAAGCAGTCATCAGACAACTGCCCAGATGTGGAAACAATCCACTGATGGTACCACCCCCCATCCCACCTGCCTTCCCTCCTGCCCTCTGACCTCGCTCCCCTGGTAGCAGCTGTACCAGTTCAAACTCTGAAGCCACGGCAGAATCACGATTGTTTTTCTTAAGGACACGGCTGATGACACTTGGGGCCTTGTCCTGGCTTGTTATCTGGCAGGACAGGAAACCAGAAGAGCAATAAATTGGCCATGATGACATCTAGTTCCCATCCTTCCAACCTCAGTCACCTACCCAACCAAAAAAAGGTTACCTGTGTCTAATGCTTTAAAATGAACAGGAAACCCAATATGGTGGCTCCCCGAACCCCATAAGCCAGCCCACATGGTGCCCAGTGTAACAGGGCTGCTTCCCTGTGGGAAAACTGCTGTTGGTCCTGAAAGTCTCATAGAACCCCCAAAATACAAGATATAGCTGCTAGTGCAAAGTAGCCACCAAAATAAAAACAGCTGCTAAAGCCAAAGGTCAGAATTAAAACTAGAATCGACTCTACTTGGCTGCCCAAACCTGACATTTACACTCCAACAAGGCACCCTCCTTTTCCCTCAGCCCCAGTCTCAGGCTCCCTCACCAAGATGCTCTTGTAGACACTGCCATCTTCGCCCAGCTCCATCTGGACTCGGATGATTCGGCAATCAGAGGACCCTGGCCCAGATCCCCCTCCCCCACATCCAGCCCCCCTGAAAGGCCCTTCTCCTGTACCCCCGCTCAGTGGGGAGCCACAGGAGGCTGAGCGGCGGTGACCCCGAGAAGGCCGAGGGGAGGAGGCTGGGGGAGAGAGGTGGCTAGGATCCGTTGGAGTGTGCAAAGAGGGACTGTTTTCCAAGGCAGAGTCCAGAGATGAGACGGATGGCCATTTCATATGCTAGGGTCAAACAACATAGAAACTGTCATGAAGTCAGAGAAGTTAAGGAAGAAATAATCAGAGTCAGGATCAGTGTTGAAATCAGTGATCAAAAGCAGTGCTCACCTGGGCCAACCGGGTGAGCAAAGGAGCAGGGGTTCCAGACACCTCATCGCCCCCTACACTGGGCCTGTCCCAGGCCACAAGGGGGGTGGGACCTCCAACAGAGCCTAAAACGCTGGAGTGGCAGGAGATGGAGAGAATCAGAGGAAAAGTGACAAATCCCAAGAAATGCCCTCCCCCCCTCCCCAGCTGCTGCCTCCCTCACTCTGTCCACTGTGAGATGACTAGTGTTGGACGGAGCACCCTTGGAGCCGGAGGATCACTGGTTCCAGATGGCTCCACCTCACAGGACACACGGTGACTGGAGGGGGGAGCAATAGACAGAGGTCAGGACCTGCCACCAATCCCAACATCCAGCCCTACAACCCCAACCTCGCTCAGCTATTCACCTCTGAGCCTCCGTCAGCGGCCGGAGTCCCTGGAGCCATTGTTGGATATCAGAGTCAGGTCGGAGGTCATAGCCTCGACATTCATTCTGGAGCCGCCTCAACTCAGAAAGGACAGCAAACTCCTGGAAAAGAGTCCTCCGACTTCAGAAGCCCAAACATAAAGACTCCCAGCTTTCCCTCCTCCTCCCCTTCCTGGGACACTGATGGGGCATCCAGCATCTAGTGCATGCAGACCGCTCACCTTTCTCCGTTTGTCAAAATTGATGTAGCCATTCTGCAAAGACCATGGGATAGGAGTGAAAGTGGGAATCCCACTTAGGGTAACAGAGTGTCTCTTCTAATCACAGGACTCTCTGACTCCTCCAGGCATCCTTTCCCTTCCCGTCATATCTCTCATTTCCAAGCTCTCCACTTCACCTCCCCCCCACCCCACCCCACCCCCAGCACTTTTTCTTTGTTTTGTTTTGTTTTTGGGTCTGGTTGTGGGGCCTGAACTCTGGGCCTGGGTGCTGTCCCTCAGCTCTTCAGCTCAAGGCTAGCGTTCTACCACTTGAGCCACAGCGCCACTTCCGGCTTTTTTCTTTTTGCTTATGTGGTGCTGAGGAATTGAACCCAGGGCCTCAGGCATGCAAGGAAAGCGCTCTATCACTGAGCCACCTTCCCAGCCCCCCCAGCACTTTTTCTTAGGTTTTGCACTCAAGGCTAGGGCTCTACCACATGAGTCACAGCTCAACTTGTGATATTTTAAATTTATTTTTGTTAGCCATGGGGCTTGAAATCAGGGCCTGAATGTTATTCTTTTACTCAAGGCTAGTGCTATACCCACTTCGGGTTTTCTGGTGATTAACTGGAGATAGAGTCTTGCAGACTTTTCTGCCCAGGCTGGCTTTGAACCATGATTCTCAGCCTCTTGAGTAGGTAGGATTACAGGCACGAGCTACCAGCGCCTAGTCACTTCTGACTTTTTTTGGCACTTAATTGGAGATAAGTCTCACAGATTTTCCTGCCTAAGCTGGTTTCAAACAGATCCTCAGATCTCAGCCCCCTGAATAACTACAGGCATGATCACCAGCACTCAGCACTTCACCCTTTATTTCTTTTCTTTTCTTATTCCAAGACAGGGACTCAAACTCAATACCTAACATTTGCTCATTGGTTAGCACTCTACCACTTGACCATGCCTCCAATCCTGTTTCTTTCCTTTTTCGTTCTTTGTTTTTTTTTCCCCCCTCAATCATGGGGCCTGAACTCAAGGCTACTCTACTACTTGAGCCACAGCACCACTTTCGGCCTTTTCTGCTTATGTGGTGCTGAGGAATCGAACCCAGGACCTAATGCATGCAAGGCAAGCACTCTACCACTGAACCACCTTCCCAGCCCCTGGTTGTTGTTTTTTTTAACTTCACCTTTTAAATTGGAGTTGAGGTAGAAAATGGAGCTAACCTCACAGATGATAAAATGAGACTCAAAGAAGGTAAGGAGCCTGGTACCATCAGTAGCTCAGCTTGTAATCCTAGCTATTCAGGAGGCTGAGATCTGAGGATCTCAGTTTGATGCCAGTCTAAGGAGAAAAGTCCCGTGAGACTTATCTCCAATTAAGTACCCAAAAAGTCAGACAGAGCTGTGGTTCAAGTGGTAGAACATTAACAATTATCAAAATAATTCAGGGACAGCATCTGGGCCCTGAGTTCAAGGCCAAGGACACACACACACACACACACACACACACAAAGGTAAGGAACTTTTAGTTTTCCAGTATTCAGGATGAAACCCAGGGCTTTTCGCATGTTAGGCAGGTACTCTACTCCTGAGTTATATCCCTTCAATATTTGTTTTAGCAAACTCTCTATGCAGACATTTTTGCCAGGTTCTAAGCACTTGAATACAAATTCATTTGCCTCAATAGACTGCTGTTAGCGTTTCTAGAGACCACTGAAGCCCAAGAGGTTAGGCCACTCACTACAGTAACAAAATCCATCTGGCCCAAGAGCCTAGTTGTCAGCCCCTTAGGCCTTACAGCTGCTTTTTGAAGGGAAGTTTGCTGACCCTGAGGCACACCTATTACATCATCACAGTGAGAACACTATATATACACATATACACACCTACCTCTAACTCATCCTTAGAGGCTGCATCCAGCATCACAAGATCCTTTAGGAAGGTGCCAAGGTATGGAACCACCCCCTGCAGTCAGAGGTCAGGATCAGACACCCTCTGTCCCTCTACATTTTCCTCCCCACAGCCTCAGAGCACAGATATCATTCTTCTCACCCCTTGGGCCTCATCTTTCAAGCCCAGTCTGTTCTCACTCATACATACTCCAGACTCTTTCCCAGTCCCTCCCAACAGCCCTGTCACTCACCCCACCCCGAGAGCCAGACCTCGGGGCTTTCTTGGAGTGTGGTTCCAGAGAGGGCTGTGGTTTCACTTCCTGGCAATGACAAAGCAAGAAGATATGGGGGGAAAAGTAGGCAAAGGGAAGGCTGAGAGAACCAGAAAGCAGGGTCTCACCTTCATGAGGAGTTCCCGGCTCTGGGAATAATTATCCTCCTCGGAGAAAATCTGGCAGAGACTGGAAAAGACTCTCAGACTATCCCTGGGGAGGGAGAACAGTGGCCCTGAAGACAAGCCTGGCTCAGCCACCCCCCTCCTCAATTCTCAGGAGAACTTCCACCCTCTGTTCTGTGCCATGCCCTCATACCTGGCTGCCTCCCCCCACGCTGACCGAAGCCTGTGGATGGGGCTAGACTGCAAGGCGGACACAACCGCGTAAACTGAAGAAAAGTTTCGGAGCAGTCGGCACTCCTGTGAAGGTCCAAGAGGAAAACTGAAGCTGTGGAACACCCCACCCCGCCTTCTCTACATTGTGGTCCCCAACAGGGCAATCTCCTCTCACCTCTGCCACACGGATCCACTTCTCCAGGAGCCGGGCCCTCTGAGGGGGCCGGAGTGGCCGAATGGTCACCTCTCCAGGCCCATCTCCAGTGGGGGTGGCCCCCAGGACAGAGCTAACCACTGCCCCTGCCACCTTGTTGAACTGTGTGACAGTAGCTCGGACAGATGGGCAGAGGTGGGAATGTCCTGGCCGGTCTCTGTGACCCCACAAGCCCCCCAAGCACTGGGAAGGCACCAGGTTCAGAAACAGCTCCTGCAGGGTAGAGGGCAGAGGTTAAAGTTCATAATCAAGTGAGGTGAGCCTTCCAATATCAGGGACATGAGGATCTCAGGTGGCCAGAGAACCAGAGGGTGACAGGATTTGAGGGGTAACAACCCAGGGGAGATGGGAAAAGGTCAAAACAGTAGATGGAGGAGGCTGGGAACTGGATCAGGAAGGGTTAGAACCAAGGGAAGGATCTAGAGTCAAGGAGAGGCTAGTAAGGGGTCAGGGTCATGGGGTCTCACCGCATCTAGCAGGGTCAGCTGTTCGGCCAAGTGGTCAGCGAGGAACACCAGGACATCCGTGGGGTCAGCAGGGGGGTCGCCAGGGAGGGCCGGGGGCTTAGGAAGGTCAGGGGTGTGGGGGTCCACCCGGGACCGGAGGTTGCGGATGAGGTCAGCGCTGCCCTCCCCAACACCCTGCCCTGCTGCATACCCTGTCCGAAGCAGGAAGCTCTCAAGCCGGTCAAGTTGACCCTTGACCTCAGAGCCAAAATCCTCAGGGTGAGAGGCCAGCCAGGTTGACAGTACAGAAATGGCTACCCTGGGAGAAGGGGAATCAACCAAGAGTCAGAGGTCCAGATGCAGCTTGGGCAGAGGGGACTGAGATGCAAGTCAGGAGTCACTCACCCTGTTGTCCTCTCTAGCTCATCAGGAGGATGAGATTCAAGAGCTTCCAGCCTGGAGAGGGGAAGACAGTCTACCTGTGCATTTTCCCAAACCTCCTATGGTTCTGACTGCATCGCAGGAATGTTCCAGGTTTAGGATGTCCAGAAACCTCCACAACCCTTAGTCCCTTATGACCCTAACCTGTCAACCACAAGCCCAAGCAGGGCAGGCGTGGAAGTGAAGGCCCGGTGGGTGGCCAGCAAGGCTGATATGAAGGTCACGTCAGTCCCTGATGTCCGGGTATCCAACAGGTGTCTGACCAGGGCCTCCAAAGTGCCAGCCCGGAGCCGTCGAGAAGATCGTGGAGGAGGCATGGGGGCCTGGAGGACACAGAAGACTGATCACTGTGTGTTTCTTCAACCCTACTCTGAATATCTAGAGCAATCCCAGACCTAGAAGCAGATCTAGCTCATTTTGTTGAGATTCAGAGAGGGTAAAGGACCTGGCTTAATTCTTAACATGGCAGAATCCTGAACTCCAGAATTCTTTTTTTTTTTTTTTTTTTTTTTTTTTTGCCTTTTGTCAGTTGTGGAGCTTGAACTCTGCTGGGCACTGTCCCTGAGCTCTTTTCTTGAAGGCTAGCACTCTACTACTTGAGCTATAGCACCACTTCTGGTTTTCTGGAGGTTAATTGGAGATAAGAGTCTCACAGAGGGGCTGGGAAAGTGGCTCAGAAGTAGAGCGCTTGCCTTGCATGCATGAGACCCTGGGCTCCACTCCTCAGTACCACATAAGCAAAAAGAAAAAAGCCGGAAGTGGCGCTGTGGCTCCAGTGGTAGAGCACTAGCCTTGAGCTGAAGAGCTGAGGGACAGCGCCCAGGCCCAGAGTTCAGGCCCCACAACCGGACCCAAAAAAACAAACAAACAAACAAACAAAAAGAGTCTCACAGATTTTCCTGCCCAGGCTGGCTCTGAACTGTGTTCCTCAGATCTCAGCCTTCTGAATAACTATGATTACAGGTATGAGCCATAGGTGCCCAGTTCTGAACTCCAGAATTCTAACCTAGTACTCTGGCTAAAAAAAACCAGCCAAAGAAAGAGAGCTAGGAGATGAGGGGGTCAGAGGTGAGAAGCCAGTGTCATGATCTCACCAAAGGATCAAGAGGCCTATATTGGCGGCTTGTGACAGTAAAGGTGGCTCCATCTTCCTCCTCATCCCAGACAGACACGGGAGCCTGGAGAAGCAAAGAAGGGGAAGTCAGACAGTCCAACCCCATCCCACACTGTCACCAGCCCTCTATCCCCGGCCCTTCACCTCCCTTTGTGGCCCTCACCTGTGATGGCAGGGGGCAATACCAGCGAGTGCGAGGGGTGGGGGGGGCTGATGACCCCAGGTCTCCCCCCCTGGGGCCCAGACAGCCCCCCCCTAGACGCCTCAGAGCCCGGTGTAGGCGAGGGGGTTGCAGTAAGGGGTTCAACTGAATGCAGGAACCCTTATCCTGGAGACCCTCGAGCCCCCTCCCCCCCAGAGCTGAGCCCCAACACGGCAGAGAAACAGGGTGCAAAAGCTGAGGAGGGAAGTTAGGCCAAAGGCAAAGAGACCTTGAGTAGCTGAAATCTCAGGCACAAGCACAGTCACAAGCCCCGCCCTTCCCCACCCAAACCTGACAAGCCCCAAACTTAGTCCTTCCCCTTGAGTGTTCTGGGGTGAGTCTTCCACTAGCTCAGCCCTGGGGACCCCCTGAAGGTAGCGGCTCCAATCCCAGTACAAGAAGGAGAAGGGGAAGTGAGGATGATGTTCGCTGGTGGGATAGACTCAAAGTCACGTGGTCCTAGCCCTTCCCCTGACCGATCCCGAAAAACCAGCCCTGCCAGTAATCCTGCGCTTCACCTAGAGTCTAGACCCTGGAGTCCTGGGCCTCTAGGTCCCAAATCTAACTTCCAGCCTCTCCTTAGGCTTTAAATCCTGCCCGAACCATCACCATTTTTCCCTAAGGACTCAGATTACTACACTCTACCTAGCTCAGCTGGGATCGTCCCTCCACGGTCCAAAGCCTTGGCTTCTGGGCCTTCTAGCCCCAAGGGCTGGGGGGGAGGGGAGGGGGAGGGGGAGGAGGAGGGATCTCGAAATCAGAGGGTTCCCTCCCCAATCCCAGAGTCAGAGGAGCCGGTTACTGTGGAAACAAACCCCTCCCCGCCAAACAAAAACGAGGAGGGAGCCCGGGACCCGAGACACCACAGCCGCGAGGCTGGCACGCCGGCCGGCTGGGGCGGAGAGGGCCGGGGCCGCGCAGGCACAGCCGGCCGGACTTGAGGCCGTCGCAGGGCAGCTCCTGAGTCACACTGACTCAGAGACCCGGAGAGACGCCAGGACCCGCAGCAGCCCGGCAAGATACTCAGGGACAGGCGCAGATAGAAGCCAGGCAGGGAGGAAGAGATGGTGGGACCCAGACACCGAGGGCGGGTGAAGTCTCCGAAATACGTAGACCCCATGTCCCACCACCCGCGTCTCACCTCTTCTTCTTCCTCCTCCTCTTCCTCCTGCCCCCCGCCCACGGCCCGGCCACCTGGGTCCCCACCCTCTTCGGGGTCTCGGCTCCGGAAGCTGCTCAGCACGACTCCCCCGGGGGGGCTCGTGTCCAGAAGCAGCCGCAGGGGCCGCGGGAGCATGGCCGGGTGGAGGAATCAGCGGGGTCGGGCCATGGGGGCGCCTGGGGAGAGACGGGGGCGAGGGGGTGGAGAGTCAGGCAGGCGTGGGAGCGCGGGGGCAGGGAAGGGACGCGGGTGGGTGTCTAGGTAACCGGATGGGAGTCCTGCAGGAAGGCCGGGGGAAGGAGGCGACACAGACATGGAAAACGGGGGCCCTGGGTACATTGGAGGGGTAAGGGGAGGGGGGTCACGGCTACCGGAACGGGCAGGGTCACCCGGTTCTCTACCTCTGACCTGCTCGGTAGGGGTGGGGGCAGCGCGGGTCCCGGGCCGCTGTTCCCGACGATCTCCAGCCCCCGGTCGAGTCCCCTCCACGGCTTCTCCGCACCCCCCTGCACCCCCTCCCGGCGCCGGGCTCCCGGGCCCTCCCGCCCTTTCCGCTCCCCCCCTTCCCCGCGTCCGCCGGCTCCGAGAGCGGGAGCCAAAAGGGGAAGGAAGTGAGGACAGGAGCCAGGGCCGCAGACTGGGGGAGCGCTGGACGGCCTCGGGCAAGGACTGGGGCGCCGGGTCCCCATCTCCAAGTCCCCCAAAACACACTCAGGGACTCTAGAGCCCACGTCACTCCGCACTGAAATGGGACAGAGATTCCTGTTCCCGGGGAAGGGCAGGAGCAGAATTTGACATCCCCCCCCATCCAAAAAGAACAAGACGAAAACTCCCGCGGGAAGCGCTTTATTAAGCAAGGGAGGTCCCCGTTATCCCACGCGGAGAGGTTACACAGCCCATCCCCAACCCACGAGTGCAGCGGACCGAATCCACTCCGGGCTTTCAGCGGAGCCGGAGGCCCCGCCCACTCGCCTGGGGGCGTGGCAGGAAGTCGCCACTTCCGGCTCAGGCTCTCAGAGCTGGCGCTGCGGGGTTTCCGGCGCCTGGGGCCTAGCGGTTCTCGGAGTCCCGGAGGAGGAGCTCCTGGGGCGGCCGAGAGGTCTCCGGGAATGCCGGGGTAGCAGGAGGTGACCCGGTGCCCTGTGCACTCATCGCGCTTGGAAAGGGGGTAGGATGAGAGACTCGCTCGGCAGCACAAGAACTCCACTTTATTCCCACACGACTGGCCCGGCGTGGTGGTCGGCCCCAGGCCGCGCCGCCGCCCGGTACCCGGCGGCTGTTGGTGACGCCCTCCAGTGGGCGCCCGGCCGCGAGACGGACTAGCTGGGACCAGCCTTCGATAGGCCTAGTCCGGGAAGATAGGCCGTTGACGACTCACAGTCACTTAAATAGAACCCTGGTAAAACCTCCCCAGAAGGGCAAGAAATCCGGGAGCCGGTGATCTCAGGATCATGGTTCGATGCTAGCCTGGGCAGGGAAGCCTGTGAGACTTTATTTACAATTAACTACCAAAAAGCGGAAGTGGGGTTGTGGCTTAACTAGTAGACCATCAGCCTTCAGTGACAAAAAAAAAAAGCGGTGCCCAGGCCCCACTACTGGCACAAAAAAGGGGGCGGGGCGGGGAGAGAAGGAAATGTCTTGGGCCCAGAGAGGGCTAATGGGCCAGGCATAGGGAAACAGCATTGAGACTCCAGAGGCAAGCTGCAGGTTTCATTGGGAGAAAAGAATAGCTGTCCTCTGAGAGGAAGTTTAGGGGGGCACTAGATAGGATTGGAGAGTTTGGCAGTGGTCAAAAGGAATGGATTTGGCCCTAAGGTATCTGTTCTCCAGGTGTGTTCTCTGTCCTGGAGGTCCCCAGACTACTTCAATAAGACCTTTTAAAACAATAGTAAGGGCTAATGGAAAGGGAAACAAAGGAGGAGGCTACAATGCTTGGTAAGAAATGTACTCATTATCTTGCCCATGTAATTGTAACCCCTCTGTACAGTATTTGCACAATAAAAAAAATTTTAAGTAAAATTAAAAAAAAACAATATTAAGGGCTGAGATGTAGCTCAGTGGCAAAGTGCTTACCTGTAAATACAACTTCTTGGGTTCAATCCCCAGTACCAGAAAAAAAGAAAAAGAAATTCCCCAAGAGTGTATGGTATGCCACAGGTGCATGATACGTGTTGATGCCACAGTTTTCAGAATGAATGCAAAGTGTATTCTTGTGATTTAAACCTTTCTCAATTTCAAGTTTTAGTACACTATCAATAGTTCTCACATAATTAAAAACTCTTTAGACTGATAAGAGGTCCTAAAACAGAAACAACCACTGCTCTAGTGCTTTAAAAAAGTGAATGCCAGATTGTGTCCAGCCACTCGGAGGGAATTTGTCGATAATGGCACACTGTATTAGCTTGAGCCAGAGATCACGGTGGCTTCTATAGGATGATAGTGAGTGCCTTCACTGTGTTTTCTGGAAGAGAAGGAAGAAGGAAGTGAGGGATTTGGAGTTTCAAACGGTTTGAAGTGTTCATGGTCAATCCAGTAAGATCATCCTTGACATAGACAGTGGGATAATGGTGGGACAAACCTTTTCTGCCCGAGGGATATGGGAGTACATTATCTCTTGCCTTATCCAAGAGATAGACTATATTATTTAAGCGATCCAACAGCTGGCTGAGAGCTCCACAATCCAATGTGCTAGCCCCTATACAGGCAGTCAATGCTACCTCCAGGATGATAGCCCCATAGGGATAGTCTCAAGTACAGTATGCTGACAGGTTGGGGATGTAGTTCTGTGGAAGAGCACCTGCCTAGTATATGGGAGAGTCTGGATGTGATCCACAGCACCATAGAAAGTAAAGGAGGAATGGAAGAAAGCCAACATTTTAACACCTGAAGTGTGAGGACTCACATAATTCTAACAACTCAGGATGCTGAGACCTGGTGGATCACAGTCCAAATCCAGTCCAGACAGAAAAGACTGTGAGAATTCATCCCCAGTTTATCAGCAAAATACTAGATTAGAGGGGTAGCTAAAGTGGTAGAGTATCAACCATGAGTGAAGAAAGCCAAGAATGGTCATGAGACTCTTGAGTTCAAGCCATATACTGACACTACTTATGGTAAAGAGAAAACAAAAGCCATTTCTTCTTTTGTAATTTTTTGGTGATGAGATCAAACCATGGACTTCATATATTCTAGGCAAGCACTCTTCCATTGAACTATACCACCGCCTTTATAATTTGGGGGCCTCACACATGCTAAGCAAGTGCTACCACTGCACCAGCCTCCTCAGTCCCTACCTGTTTTTTTTTTTTTTTGGGGGGGGTCTGGTTGTGGGGCCTGAACTCTGGGCCTGGGCGCTGTCCCTCAGCTGTTCAGCTCAAGGCTAGTGCTCTACCACTTGAGCCACAGCACCACTTCTGGCTTTTATTGTTTTTGCTTATGTGGTGCTGAGGAATCGAACCCAGGGCCTCAGGCATGCAAGGCAAGTGCTCTACCACTGAGCTACCTTCCCAGCACCCCCTACCTGTTTCTTTTAACTTGATCTTTTTTTGTTGTTGGAGATGATCTCTCTATATATCCCAGGCTGACCTTAAGCTCAGGATCTTACCTTAGACTCAAGTGCTGGGATTATAGGCATGTGATATTATGCCTGACTCTTACTTGTTTAATATTACTAACTAGATTGTTTCAGTTTACATGTGTGGTTTGCATTATATTTCCATTAGACAGAACTAAGTAATTTTTAAATTCCTTCATCCAGGAAAACTAAGATGCAGATGTAGCTTGCTTACGAGGCCCTACAATTAGAATGTAGGGCAGGATTTAACCTAGGTCTGTGGGAAGTCGTAGTCTGGGTCTGCCCGCCATACCAGCAACCTCCCTCCCTCCCTGGGTGAGAGTGTTGGAACAAGAACAATATGAGGCCAGAAGATAAGAAGTGGAGCCCTGTTACCTTCTCTGAATCCTTGCACATGGTCAGGTAGGCGGCTGTAGAAATAGATGGAGAGGAGATAAGATTCAGAAATGGGCAGAGGTGGGTATATCTGCTCCTAGAAGGGGATTGTTTACAGTGGGGAGGATCATGGTTACCGTGGGGTTCATACTCACCAACACAACCCAGAGCTTTGATTAGTCCGAGGAGGAGAAACGCTGACAGGAAGAGGCCTATCCCATCCTCAATGGAGGGCCCAGACAGGCCTGACAGAGAGAAGGTGTGAGAGTGAGCATCCTGTCTTCATCCAAAGGGGCCAGCCTGATGCCACAGTGTTCCTAGCTCTTACCTGCCACCTTCAGGGTGACCTCTGCGCTGCGCCCTGATGCATGCAGGCTGGGATGACGTACTCGACAGGCATAACGTGCCCCATGCTGCTTAGTGGTGACTGGAAGTGGCTGCAGGTACGCAGAGAGACTGACAGAGCCATCCGAATGATGATGGAGAGATGAAAACCACCTCTGCCCTTCAGCCTTCACAGAATAGCCCTCTGGACCCCCCCGGAGCTCCCACTCCACCTCCAGGCCTTTAGAGGGGTAGAAGTGGGACACCAGGCAGATCAACTCTGGGGGTGCCTCCCCCGGGGCAGCCCATACAAGGGGTGCTGGCATGAGGGACACTTTGGGAGGCTCTGAGGAAAGAGTAAGAAAGGAATATGAGAAGACAAATCCACATAGTCCTCCCTGTCTGCCCTCTGGCTTTCCTAAAGTAGAGGTAGGAGGGTTTCCTCTGAGGACTGGGAACCACTGTCTCCCATTGTTGCTTCATAGGAATCCCCATGCCAAAGTTCCCTAGATTCCTACGGACACTCAATTCCTGCCATTCTCCCTCTGGCTTCCCATGGTCCCCATTTATGTCACTTAGGCACCCTGGTCTTCATCCTCCTTCATGCTCTGGTGGTGTCCTAACCCCAGTCCCCCCCCCACTCCCTGTAGAAATTTCTGTGCCCCACTCACTGTGCATAGAGAGCTCCAGGGTGACCTGTCCTTGAAGGTATGGCAGGTGAACTGTGGCTAGGTAAGTGCCTTCCTGAAAGGGTTGCACTGCTGGCAACCAGAAGGTGCCATTCCCGGTCCAAGGGCCCCAAGGCTCATCATCATCCCATGCAGCAAATGCCACTGCTCCCTCCTGGGCTGCTGGCATTTGTCCACCTAGTCCAGGAGTTGCAGCCAGGAGCAGATGGCCTTTACCCATGTGCTGGCGTCGCCACTCCAGGCCAAAGGGAGGGGGACCTGGGGGCAGAGATGCAGCAGCCTCGAGGGTGGGGGGCATGTAAGAGAAGCTCAAGTCCACTACTGCATCTTGTCCCAGCTGGACTCGAAGGGCAGGGGTGTGAGAAAGGACAGTCAGCACCACTTGGGGGCAGGAAAAGAGAGATGGGAGAAAAAAAATAGAAATGAAGTTACAGAGTGGATCAAACTCCAATTTACCCACTCTACAGAGGATACTTCTGTTTCTGATACTTGTCATCTCTGAACGCTCCCTGAAAATGTCCTTTTCTCTGGCACTGAGTGAGAACTTACGTGGCTCGGTGTAAGCAGACAGGTCCAGGGGTGAATAGGAGCGCTGAGGGTACAGCCCTTAAAGCCTGCTTTGAACACTGTCCATTCAAGCTCTGGGGATGGTAGGATCTGAGAATATGGTTGGTTGGTTTTAGTTTTGGTGCCAGTATTAGGGCTTGAACTCAGGGCCTGGGTGCTGTTTCTGAGCTTTTTTGCTTAAGGCTCGTGCTCTATATAACTTGAGCCACAGCTCCACATCCAGCTTTTTTGATGGTTCATTGGAGAGAAGAGTCTCATGGATTTTCCTGTCCAGGCTAGCTTTGACATGATCCTCAGATTTCAGCCTTTGGAATAGCTAGGATTACAAGTGTGAACCACCAGCACCCGCTTAGTATCTGTCTTTTATAGTTGGAAAAAATAGACTCAGAGAGAAAAGGACATTCTCACCACCACCTCACAGTGAGTAAGGAGTGCCAGAGATCTAGATATCCAGGTCAGATATACTCCATTTCTGCATTAATTGCCCTCTGCCTCTCTGGGCTCAGAAAAGCCAACAAGTCTGGTTTTTGAAACAGGGTGAACTACTAGGTGCCTAGCAAGATACAGATCCCAGATCCCCATTGCTTGGTCTTTGCAAAGCCACACCTTATAGAGGACCTCGAAGCCCCTCCCCCAAACCACTGTTGGTTTCGAATTATACTGTTAAGGAGAAGTAAGGAAAAGAAAACTGAACCCCAATTGGAGAAATGACTTGCTCAAGTCCATACTTGAGACCCTGGCTAATCTGAAGCCTTAGAATACATCTGCATCTATCTTCCTTCCCAGCTACCTGTTGCCTTGGTGATGGGTACAGGCTCCTGCTGAGGTTCTGGCTGTGGTTGTAGGAGGATGGAGAGGCTAAAGACTGAGCTAGACATGCTGACCATCAGCCAAGCTCCATTCAGAGCCTGGGGGCAGCTCTGCTCGGGTGTCAGGCCTCTGAGCCAACTCGAAGAGGCTGGCAATGGGAGGAATCGGCTTATCTCGCAGTGTGGAGCTGGGGTACTTCTGGGGTACCGTCTGAAGGCAGCCTGCAGGGTGCCTGTAGGGTCTGAGAGCAGAAAAGGAAGTAGAGCTGTAAAATGAGTCCCGAAAGGGGCTGGAAGGATAGTGTTCAAAACTCAAATAAAGACTACCCACAGTGAAAAGCTCATTGGTAATCCCAATTTACTTTGATTACTACTATTATTTTGGTGCCAGTACTGGGGCTTGAACTCCGCCTCATTCTCTCAACTTGTTTTTCTCTGCTCAAGACTAGCACTCTACCACTTGAAACACAGCTCCACTTTGTGCTTTTTGCTGGTTAATTAGAGGTAAGAGTCTTACAGACTTTTCTGTTCTGGCTGGCTTCAAACTATAATCCTCAGATCTCAGTCTCCTGAGTAGCTAGGATTATAGCTGTGAACTACCACAGCCCAGCTTAATCCCGATTTATTTATGGAGGGGAAAGCCCACAATCAGTGAGAGATCTAAGAGAGGGGCTGCCCCTTGATCTTCAGCAATGGGGAAAAAAAGTTTGTGTCGTCTAGGCTGAGGATGTGGTTCAGCAGTAGACCACTCGGCTATCATTCCCCAGGCCCCAGAATCCCCCACTCGCACGTTGGGAAAAGTGGGGGGGAGGGGTCGGGGGGGGGTGAAGACCTATCCTTAGAGGCAAGGGGTGGGGTGAGTCCCGGAAGACTCACCTTCCACTTGGAGGTAGAGTTTAGGGTCGAGGTCGGGCCTGGGCGGCGGGCCCTGGGGTCCGGGACGCAGCAGCAGCGCAGCGGGTCTCTGGGCCAGGCTACCCCTGCCGGCGTCCTCCACGAACCAGCACTCGACCGCCGTGTGTCCTGCCGAGGCGGCAGTCACCAGGCCTGGGGGAGAGGACGCCCGTGATGCCACGGCCAGGGCTTGGAGCGACCCGACCCAAGGTTGTCAGGGGCCTAGTGGGACCACGGTCCCCCCTCCTGCGTCCCTCCAGTGAGACAACCGACCCCAGAGGGCCCACCGCCCCCCAGCATTCCCCCGGTGGGCCCACCGCCCCCGCACGTCCCAGCTGTGGGACCACCTGCCCCCCTACCTCCCCTCGATGGGACCACAGCCCCCGCGCCCCCCCCGTGGGCGCACCTGCGCCCCGTGGTCCCCCAGTGAGACCACAGCCCCAGCCCCGCGCGTCCCCCCCCCCGGTGAGAGCACCTGCCCCCCACGGTCCCCCGGTGAGACCACAGCCCCAGCCCCGCGCGTCCGGTGAGAGCACCTGCCCCCCACGGTCCCCCGGTGAGACTACAGCCCCGCGCGTTCACTGGATGGATCCACCTGCGCCCCACGATCCCCCGGTGAGACCACAGCCCCAGCCCCGCGCGTCCGGTGAGAGCACCTGCGCCCCACGATCCCCTGGTGGGACCACAGCCCCGCGCGTCCCGCAATGGGACCACTACCCGCCTCCCCCACACCGGCTACAAGACAAGTCTCCCGCTTTGCTCACCCAAACCCACAGCCAGGAGCAGGGCGGCGGGCTCCATGGCGCGGGCTCCTCTCCACTACCCCAGCCTCCCCTTCCTCTTTCGCTTTCCCTTTCGCTTCTGCCCAGGCCGAGGGAGGAGCCGCGCCGCGCCAGGCTGCGCTCGGGGCCGGGTGAGGGCGAGCCCAGGCGCGTGCATCCCCCACGGGCCACCCGGAGTCCCCAGTCTCCCCTCTCCACCCCTTCCCCACCGAGTCCTCCCAGCTCTTCCCGGAGCGCCTCGCCCCGCCCCGCTCCTAGACTCCTCCCTCGGGTCTCCTCCCAGCAGCACTTTTCCTTCAGCTTTCTCCCACCAGGGCCTGGTCCCTAGCAAACAGAGGGGTTGTCAGAAGCCAAGTGAAGTGACCAATAAATATTTTAATCACCGTTTAAAAAAAACCTAAAACCTGTACTACAACTTTCACTCCCTTCTAATCTACACCCATTTCCTCGGGAGAACTGAGTTAGGAAACCCCAATGGAGGTGTGTAAGGTGATATACAAATAGGGGTGTATCATGTGGGAGAGGATAGGTTCCGGGAGACTCAGGAGGCCTGGGCCCCAGCCAGGGAGCCGGTGGCTCACACTTGTAACCCTAGCTGTTCAAGAGACTGAGATCTGAGGATCACAGTTTGAAGCTAGGCCAGGCAGGACGTCCATGAGACTCTTATGTCCAATTAACCACAAGAAGCCATAAATGGAGCTGTAGCCCACTAATATAGAGCTAGCCTTGAGCTTAAAAGCTCAGGGATAGCACCCAGGCCCAAAGTTCAAGCCCCAGGACTGGCAAAAAAAAAAAAAAAAAAAAAAGGCCTTCTCCCACAACACAAACACAGACTTCAGGTACAGACTACTACAACCTGACTCATGACCCTGCAACTCCAGGATGCTCCAAACACCCCCTCCCACTCCTCTCTCCATGTTTCCCCTTCTCTGTAGAGCTGGGCTTTGGGCTATAATGGGGATACCTTGGGAGAAAGGGGCTGAGTGGAATGAGCTGTTGATAATGAAACGTGGTTTCCTCTCCAGAATATGTACAAGTCCATAGCGATAGAGGAAGACAGTGTGCTGGGAGATCATTCAGGGATCACAGCACCCCTGGAGTGGGCTCCCCATTCCCTCTTCCCCAGAAGTTACCCCAATCATCAGTCAGTTGGCTCCTCCACCTCCATTGAAACCCATCTCCACCTTGTGGACACTTGGTGGGGACCAGACACGTCTGTTGGGTGGGGGTGTGGCCCCACTTGCCTCATCGCCACTGGCCCCACCCCCTCCAGAGGACTCTCTCTTGGGTTGTAAGGTTGGCCCTGTGGACACCCCAGGGCCAGGTACGGCCCCAGCTCCACCCATTCGGTGCCTTCGCTCACAGTGTCCCCGGTGACGCATGAAGCTATCTCGCCACATGAACTTCTTGGCGCAGACACCACACTCGTAGGGCTTGAGACCTGTGTGTGTCTTCATGTGCTCTGTCAGATGGTGCTTCATTTTGAACTTCTTGTTGCACACGGGGCAGTCAAAGGGCCTCAGGTTGAGATGCATGTTCACATGCCGATCGCGCATGCTCTTGTGGGAGAAGGCCTTCCCGCAGTGGCACAGAAAGATCTTATTTCCATCCCCACTTCCCGCCGTCCCTCCTGCTGCCCCGCCATTGCCACCTGGCATGCCCAGGCCTGCTGTTGATGCGCCCCCAAGCGTCACAGCCCCATGTTCTGCTTGGTTCCCTGGCGGCTGGCCTGGAGCCTGTGAGGAGGAGGAGGAAGATGATGGGAAGACCAAGATCTGGTTGCCCTGCATGTCCAAAGGGAGGAGGGGTCGTGGAGGGTGTGTGGGGACATAAGAAGAAGGGGTGGGCCCCCCTGAGTCATCCAGCCCTGCCCCAGGACCCCCACTCTCATAGTGACCAAAGTCATTGGAGGATTCACAGAAGTTGACCTGCTCCTCCCCCTTGTCTGCAGGCTCAGTCAGGGTTCGGACATCACTGATACTGAGAGTAGCCTCAGGGCCTCCCCCTGATAGAACCCTAGAGCCACCCCCCAACTCTTCATCCTCATCATCCTCACAGGTCAGCACCAAGTCTTCCTCCTCTTCCTCCTCCTCTAGCTCTGGGTCTTGGGGAACCAAAGGTGCTGGTGCAGGGCAATTTCCACCCCGTTTAACATACACCCAGTGTTTCTGTGGCACGATGCTGGTAGGTGTATAGGCAGGCCTCCGGAGCCCAGCCCCAGGAACCACTGCCCCTCTCCCATCCGTGCCATCATCACACAGTTCATCTGCCTCCAGCAGCAGCTTCCCAGAAGTGGCAGCCCCACTACCAACCACAGGGGCCGGGAATACTGGGCCACCTCCTCGCCGCTCCCCACTGCCTACTGCAGAAGCTGCAAATGCCTCTTGGGAAGAAGATGAGAAATCAGTAGACTCCCGAGGGCTGAAGTAGTTGCTGCTGCTGGGAGACTGATTCTCACTGGCCCGGCTGGAGGTATGGGAGCGCACAGAGCCCATGCTGGCAGGGGCGACAGGGCCCCCACTCCCTGATGGGACACCAACACCAGGTACAGTGACAGAAGTGGCTGCAGTAGTAGTGATGGTGGTAGTGGCTGAAGCTCGGCCTTCTCGGAGGAGTTCAGTGCACTTGTCCACAATGTGCCACATTTGGAGCACAGATCCCACAGTGAGGAAGTTGACAATGTCAGCAGCAGCCATGCTGAGCCGGCCAGTGTAGGCAGAGGCTAGGACGGTCTCAAAGGCACCAGGATCCATGACACTGGGTAGTGAGATGGAGGTCATGCCCTTGAGTAGGACCTGGTCGTGGAAGTACGGAGAAGAGGCAGCCAGAACAGCTCGGTGAGCCCGAAACTCCCGTCCCTGCACTCGAATGGACACATCACAGAGTTGGCCCTGCAACCGTTGTTGATTAAGGGACTCCAGGAGAGCACTGGTCACCTCTGGGAAGGACACATGTACCACTGCAGCTGCTGGCAGGGGCAGTGGGGGTGGAGCCAGAGAGAGGGGCAGGGGGAGTGCTGCCCCACTGGGTGACAGAGGAGATGGCTCCATGTTGTGAAAGGAGAGGATTAACCCCCCCCCCCAGCCACAGGAACAAAGGAAAGAGAAGGGCGGCCGGGGGGGTCTCTGGGGAGAAAAAAAAAGAGAACAACATTTTGTAAATGTCTACTACAGTTCAAAAGCATATTCATACCACTCTTCTAAGTAACTTCCCATAACAAGGATAGGTAAATGCCTCAACCCCATTTGACAGCTAAGTAAACTAAGTCTGAGAAAGATTAAGCTTATCCAAGGACATTCAGCTATTGAGCGGCAAATCCAGTGATCTTTCCCTTAGAGGTTAGAAATAAGGCGCTCTTAGGGAGCATCTTGGAATTACACCCTATTTACCATTTGCTTGACTCCGGCTTTTCAAAATCCACCTTTGGAGTGATTTATACTCTTTACTTGGGAGGGTGGCAAATCTGCTCCTCTACTGGAAACCAGCCCTGATTCCATTTCTTCTAATGTGATGCCCCCCAGCGATGTCAGACCACGCCCCCTCCACCCACAGCGCACCACTAACCACGCCCAAGAAAGTCCGCCCCGCCCCGCCCCAGGTCATTTCGACCCGCCCCTTGTCTACCCCCCGCCTACACTGGACCCCGCCTCCCCTGCCCCGCCCCGCGCGCTACCACGGCCTTTTCTCCCACCCAGGTGCCCCCAACCCCGCGCGTCCCCGCTTACCGGGCCGCGCGCCCCGGGGCCCACCCCCCCGCCCCTCACTCGGCGGCCAGAGCTGCAGCCTGGGCCCCTCCCGCCGCCATCTTGCGCCGACTCCCTCCGCCCGCCTCCTCCACTCCTCCTCCTGCCCCACCGACATTAAAGGCAAAGGCAAACACCCCGCCCGTGCAGCTGCGCAAGATTCTGCCGACACAGCCACTTCCCCTTTAAGGAATTATCGCCTCATTCCACCTTAAAGGTACCAGGTCCCCTCTTCCACTGTGGGCCCAGAACTTGGTTTGGTAGAAACTTTCATTCTCCTTTAATTCCGTAACTCTGCCTTTTCCCACCGGCGACGGGTTCTGGCCTTTGCTCCTCAGGCCCCGCCTCCAAGCTGTGGCCTCCAGCTGATTTGCAGGATCACATAACCCCATGCCCAGCCTCTTAACATTCCCCCTAAAGCCCCACCTCCTTCCTCCGGGCCTGGATTGGCCAAATAATCTTGAGCCAGCCCCTGATTGGCCTTTTCATTCCTAACCCTTGAAGAAAAGTAAAGTGAGTTAAAAGAAAGCCAAAGCACTTTTCTAAGAGCCTGATGTAGGGGACCAGACCCAAGGACATTTTAAGGTGACGCGATGACACAAGCTATGAAGGATAGTTCCCAGGCTGCTCTGGGACCTGGGTTATCCCTAAGTTAGGGGAACAGCTGAAACACAACTATAACCACAGAAGGACAAGACAGGAATACAATAAGAAAAAGTTTTATTATTTATTGTTTCTGTGTAAAACTTAAGCTTAAGCTTTTGATTTTTTTAAAGAAACCACCAAAAAAGAATTAGATCAGTCCATCCCTTCCTCAAATTTATTTGCTTTCCACCATCCTCCAAATGCTATCCAAATCATTCTGGAAGGCAGGGAGAGTGGGAGGGAACTAATCAGAGTCTGAGAGCACGATGATTTCTTCTGGATCACACTGTGTGGCCACACTCATCTGCAGAGAAGCGAAAGACAGAATCAAAGAAGTTGAGAGTGGGGGCTGGGAAGGTGGCTCAGTGGTAGAGTGCTTGCCTTGCATGCATGAGACCCTGGGTTGGATTCCTCAGCACCACATAAGCAGAAAAAAGCCAGAAGTGGCACTGTGGCTCAGATGGTAGAGTGCTAGCCTTGAGCTGAAGTGCTGAGGGACAGTGCCCGGGCCCAGAGTTCAGACCCCACAACTGGCAAAAAAAAAAAAGCCAAGAGTATAGGCAAAGGAGAAGAAGGAAGCATGTAAATAAATTAAAAACTGCCAGACACTGGTGGCTCATGCCTGTAATCCCAGCTACTCAAGAGGCTGAGATATGAGGATCTTGGTTCAAAGCCAACCTGAGGAGGAAAGTCCATGAGACACTAATCTCCAACCAACCACCAGAAAACTGGAGTGCTAGCCTTCAGCAAAAGAGCTCAGGGACAGTACCTGGGCCCAGAGTTCAAGCCCCATAACCAACAGACAAAAAAAAAAAAAAAGCTGGGCACTGGTGATTCACACCTGTAATCGTAGCTATTCAGGAGACTGAGATCTGAGGATCTTGGATCAAAGCTAGCCCGGGGAGGAAAATCCATGAGACTCTTATCTCCAATAAACCACCAGAAAACTGGAAGTGGCATGTGGCTCAAGTGGTAGAGTGCAAGCTTTGAGCTGAAGAACTGAGCGGGATGGTGCCCACGCCCAGAGTTCAAGCTCCACGACCGACAAAAAAAGAAAAAAGAAAAAGAAAAAATGTTTAAAACTAAGGTGGGAAAAACGGAAACAAGATGTGACAAGTGTTCCAGACAGAGGGCCTGAAACAATGAATGGTCAAGAAAAAGACTACCCCTCTTACCTTATAAGAACTGGGTTGAAGAGCTTGTGATTGGGGAACTTGGGACATCTGGGCTGGAAAAGGGCTGCAGAGGGAGCTGGTCACCAGGCCATGGCTAGGAGAGTCCACCCTTGTAGAGGAATCAGCAACTGGAACCATAGAAGCCAAGGGGGAAGGTGGACTAGGCAGGGTACATACTGTCTTCTTCCCATTCTTTTCCTGTAATGCCTTTTGCTCTTCCACACAGCTAAGAATAAAATGCAAACACATGGAGGGATGTGAGAAGCCTAAATCTAGGAGAGTATCCAATCTCTCCCAGAAGCCTCAATCCTTCAATATTCCTCAGAAAGTCCCCTGAAATCCCTTCTCTGCTTCCCTTTTCCTCCACCTGTTGTTACCTGTTTTTTAATGGTCCTATTCCTGTTGACTTCTCCTTGCGAGATTTCTTGCAGGGAGGACTGGAATCTCCCCAAGCATGAGGAGAGACACCTCCATTGAAGGATGTGGAGGAGACCATGGCTGCCCCATTCTCCAAAACAGTACTGAGGACATCCTCTGATTGCTTTCTAGAAGAGGAAATAGCCTTTTCCTCAGGGGAGGGGGTAGTATCCACTGGTAAAGCTTCAATTTCTAACTCAAAGAGCTGAGACTTAGGACTCTCTTCCTCTAGGGGAAGCTTTTCATACTGTTCTCCACTGCTTTCAGCATCTATGCTGGAAGGATTCAGGGGTTCTTCCAACAGTGAAGCCGGTGACGCTGTGAGTTCTTTATTTTGCAGTTCTTCCGAAGAACTGTTGGTCTCTTTGCTGGGTTCCACGTTTTCAGTGGAGGTCTGTGATGGTGACATTGGGCTTTTGTCTCTACTAATACCTAGGGAAGAAGAAAAGAGCAGAGGAGTGACATGAGGACTGGGGGAGGGGAGAATACTACTGCAAAGGAACTAGGAGTAAGAGGAGAAAGGAAAGAATCTCAACAGGTGCTCATGCTCAACAGAGTAGAATTGACATAGATGTTCATCTACAAACCTCCTCTTTCCTCCTCCTCCTCTTCTTCTTCCTCCTCTTCTTCTTCCTCTTCCTCCTCCTCTTCATCTTCCTGACATTCCTGTATCTGTTCTAGATCATCCTCTTCTTCGGAATCTGTGGCTTCTTCCTCTTCCTCTTCTTCCTCTTCTTCTTCTTCCTCATCACTTTCTTCATCTTCCTCATCATCCGTGTCAGCCTTGGAGGTAGGAGGGCATTCTTGGGATGCCATTCCACTAGGGCCCTGAGAGACAAAGGAATTTCTCTAAGAAATCCCTTGCCCCAGAGTTTGGTTCTTATATTCCTTCTGTGTACTCCCCCATCAAACACCCTGGAATCTCTGGTGGTCAGAGACAGAGACAGACCGAGAGAGAGAGAGAGAGATAGAGAGAAAGAGTGTGTGTGTGTGTGCAGGCAGATGGGGAAACAGTCTCCCTTCCACACCTCACCAGAATCCAAGGAGGCTTTGGGGGAGTCTGGAGATTGGGAGGAAGTGCCTTGGGAAAGCCGAGCTCTTCGCTTCTGTCTCTCCCCCTCCTCACTTTTGTCTTGCATCACTGCATATTTGGAGATGACTTCATCCAGTCGGCTCATTGCTAAGTTTCGGTTTTCTCGAAGGCGCCTGGCCAAAGCAGGATCTGAAAGTGCTGGGTCAATACCTATGTGGAAAAATAGAACAGTCAGCTCACACCTGAGAAGGGACTAGGGCAATGCCCCCTCTGCCACACATCTACCCTCAAGAGTTATTGATGGGCATCCCACTAGCCTCCTACCTGGCCTATAGTCATCTGTGAGGTGACAGCCAAAGTTGTAGATGAGATCAAGGTGGCGGCGCTCTTGTAACCTAACACCAACATCCCGGAAGGCATCCTGAGCCAAGAGCTGAAGCTGCTGTCGAGGAAGGCCAAGGCTGTGCCGAGCAGCTGCCTTCTCTACTGCTCGAAGCACATCTCTATAGTCAGGGAAAGTATCAAGCCCTGGCTTGTTGATGAGCCGTTCGATGCGCCTATTAACCTCTGGATAGCGGGTGCCCCGGTAGGGTATTCGCTGCTCAATGACACGGCCGGTCAGAGAAGAGCAGTCTTTCAGCTCACACAGGCGGCCAAAGAGGCGGATAAGCTTCCGCTTCAATCTGGCCTCTTGCAGGTATGTGGAGTCTGGATCATCCAATTCTGACAGATCCAACTCCTTTTCCTGTAGCCGCTTGATCTCTGCTACATAGAGTGCCAGCAACTGCTCCAAGCGCTGGATCTGCCGTCGGGAACCACGGGTCCTTGGGGCCTCAGAGGCAGAGGCTTCAGCATGTGTGAGGTTTGAGGAGTCTGTGGGAGGGTTATTCTCAAAGGGCTCACTGGAAGTGGTAGCAGGAGGGGCCAGGTTCAGCTTCTTCTTGGCAGAATGGGCCTTAAGAACAGTGCAGAGTTCATTGATATACACATACAACTTAGCTGGCCGACTCCTGGCCCGGGAGAGGACCCGGGAGAGGATGTTGCAGAACTCTGCTGAAGCCAAAAACAGAGACTGGGCCCGCTGCTGCCGGTTAGAGAGGAATTGGACCACCTCAGGGTGGTCCGCTGTCTGCGTCTTACACAGTTCAAGGAACTGCAGAGTTCAGGGAAAAGAAGGGGGGAAGAGACAAGGGAGAGAGTTGAGAGAAAGAAAGCAAGCTGGGGTTAGTGGGGAAGACAGGACCAGAGAGCAAGCCAGTCAACCATCCCCCTCCCTGGAGTACAAGAATCTCCTCCCGTGAAGCTCACCTCTTCAAACAGCTTCTCATTCTCCAACTTGTAGCATTTCTTGCTGCCAGAACTACTAGTTCCTTCAGCTCCAAGGGGCGCAGAAGAACCAGGGGCTTCTGCCTGGGGTGAGCCAAGGGCTTCTGCCTGAGGTGAGCCAGGACTCAGGGGTGGGTGGGAGGGCCCTGGCTGAGCAGCTGCTTCATCTTCATCATCATCATCCAGCACGATGATGCTGTTAGCGGTGGCCATGGGGGATCAAATTCCCCCGAGGGAGGAAGTGTTGGGGATTTCAGATTTCCTGCTAGAAGGGGATGGGGACCTCAGAAAGAGCCCCTCCAGCATCACCCCATCCCTTTGTAGTTTATGGTCCTCTTGGGTTTCAAGCCCAAAGGTGGACGTCCTCTCACTGCCCAGTTTCAGCAATTATTTCTTTGTGCTTTTCCGGTCCTTCAAGTGTAGGATAGTAATGAGCCTCCCAAAC